TCTAAGAACACGATGGAGATGCTTTCTTGCTGAATTTTATGATCCCTGATGATGCTGATCGTGTGATGGAAATATTTGTTTACATATGAAGTGTGTGTTGTATTGGAACAGTTGCTTGGAGTACATGGCAACTATTATAATTGTTGTCCAACACGTCACATTCCCGCTGGTTGTTACGTGCATGAATGTGTTCATGGTTGGGAGTAATTACGTCCCTATTGTCTCCCGCAGGTGATGTGGTCACGTTACCATCCATTGCCCAAGGCGAGAGTACTGCTAATTTTAACAACACATTGCCCAAGGCGAGAGTACTGCTAACTTTAACAACACATTGCCCATGTCAGACGACTTTAACACAGATGGGAAATAATTGACACTCCCTCACTGAATAAATATTTCCATCCATCTGAACTTGACACCAACGTCAGATGGTAAACATCTCTCATAACTACTCTTCCTTTGAGGCTTAAGCTCATTAACACTATAATGTCTGTAATTGTTTCTCATAACTCGAGATCAGCATAACAACGTAAAATATCGGTCAAACTATACCTGTCATTGTACTGTTCCCACTTTGTATTCCGAGCCTTTAAATCTGTTTCTTAGTGAGCGTTGAAACTGTTACTTAGCCGGTGGGGTTTCTTGCTTGTCTCTTGATCGACTTACCTTCTCTTCCCACATTTCATCCATTGATATGCTTCAATGCCTCTCACATCGTTTGATGCCGCCCATATCGCTGTATGATAGTCCAGATCTTCTTGCTTTTGTTATACAATGGACACAATCCAAGACTTCTTGGATTGTTGATGTAGATGATACGTGTATCATCTCCATCATCATAAAGTTTCTTAAACGGCTAGATTAAAAAGTGAAACGATTCTGTAATTATGTAAAGATGAGAGAGGTAATTAATTATACAAAGAAAAGCAATTATTCAGCCAGTATAAAAAGATGAGAGACAGCATGAAGCACCTCAGGGCTCAGGTCTCCTTCAGAAATGGTGTCGGGTTAATCTCTTCAGGTTTCATGATCGTTGTTTACGCGTATATATCACATACTCATAATACATTAGGGTTGCGAATGAGCTTTCGTCGTACAGTCACTCAGGTTAATCACCATAGAGCTTGGCCATTAGCTGGATGCGTAAACACGTGGAACCCACTTCCCTTGTGACAGGAAGACCTCGCCTACCTGTGTTGGACTTCCGTAAATTTGCATAATCCAATTTGCCAACTCAATAATGGTAGTTTCTTCCGCTGTGAGAATCCCAGCAAGTGTTGCATTTCAAGTTCAAGTACGTTTATTGAGACAATAAAATACATCTCAAAGGGATAGAGTAGCTTCGGCTATTTCTACCCTCCAGTGTTGCATTAATTTACGTATACACACGCAGTTCCGCGAGAATAAAGAGGAGCGAAAATTTACTCCAGGAAGGAACTTGAGCTTTATTACGGGAAGCTCCCATGGCGTTGAACTTGGGAATGTTATTGAAGGATAGTTCAAGATGAGGCGGTGATGGGCTCACTCCCCCTGGCATAACCATCTAAGGACTGTGGCAGAGTTATATATATTAATTCGCTAGTGAAAATACATTGTGGAAATAAGGGATTTTTTCCATATTGTGATGGTACGTTGTTACTGCCTGCAGTGGTGGGGGTCGTGCAGTGGTGGGGGTCGTGGAGTGGTGTGTAGTCGTGTAGTGGTGTGGGGTCGTGCAGTGGTGTGTGGTCATGCAGTGGTGTGTGGTCGTGCAGTGGTGTGTGGTCGTGCAGTGGTGTGTGGTCGTGTAGTGGCGTGTGGTCGTGTAGTGGTGTGTGGTCGTGCAGTGGTGTGTGGTCGTGCAGTGGTGTGTGTGGTCGTGCAGTGGTGTGTGGTCGTGTAGTGGTGTGTGGTCGTGTAGTGGTGTGTGGTCGTGTAGTGGTGTGTGGTCGTGCAGTGGTGTGTGGTCGTGTAGTGGTGTGTGGTCGTGTAGTGGTGTGTGGTCGTGCAGTGGTGTGTGGTCGTGCAGTGGTGTGGCTCGTGTAGTGGTGTGTGGTCGTGTAGTGGTGTGTGGTCGTGCAGTGGTGTGTGGTCGTGTAGTGGTGTGTGGTCGTGTAGTGGTGTGTGGTCGTGTAGTGGTGTGTGGTCGTGTAGTGGTGTGTGGTCGTGTAGTGGTATGTGGTCGTGTAGTGGTGTGTGGTCGTGCAGTGGTGTGTGGTCGTGCAGTGGTGTGGCTCGTGTAGTGGTGTGTGGTCGTGTAGTGGTGTGTGGTCGTGCAGTGGTGTGTGGTCGTGTAGTGGTGTGTGGTCGTGTAGTGGTGTGTGGTCGTGTAGTGGTGTGTGGTCGTGTAGTGGTGTGTGGTCGTGTAGTGGTGTGTGGTCGTGTAGTGGTGTGGCTCGTGCAGTGGTGTGTGGTCGTGCAGGGGTGTGTGGTCGTGTAGTGGTGTGGCTCGTGCAGTGGTGTGTGGTCGTGCAGTGGTGTGTGGTCGTGTAGTGGTGTGGGTTCTGCAGTAGTGTTGACCCCGTGTACCGATATAATTGCAATTACTCACCACTGTACATACTATTGTTTCCATTTGTCCAGTGAAAACATTGTTGACATCTGATCGTAATTCAACTGCGTCGTCAACTGAGGCAATCATCATATAGTGATTTTTGTATCGTTAGCGATGGATTGCACAAACTATGTGTTGTGCAATCCTTGCTTTCTCGTTGATTAGGATGAGGATGGGGGTAACGATTTAATCCGGGAGGCATTGTTCCTTGGAGACTTGTCAAGTTTGGCCAAATTAGTTTGCCTCTTGTATGCAAATTCTATGAAAATAACCCTCTAAAACTATGCTGATTTGGGCACAAGCAAAATAGAGCCTTTATTTATGTTGGTATTAAGTTTTCCCGTGTGTGTGATATCTTAGGGATATGTTACATTATTCCTCAGATTTCCATGCTATCGTGTCTGTACTCTGTCCGCTAGTGCTGTGGACACAATTTGTTGGGTTGCATCTTTTCCTGTTTCGTGATTTAGTTTGATAATCAGTTTGATATCCTGCTATCACGGATTTTCTCCACTTTATTTATATATTAGATATACAATCCACCCATATGGGTTGGCATCTAATTTTCAGCCATTATGTTGTTCCTTCCTCTGCATAGTAATATATTCTTGCTCTTCCTAATATATTCATCTTTAAAATGCTTACTTTATTCTACTCTATAAGTCTTAAAATCTTTCTTTTCCTATTTGGAAGGCAAATATTTTCTCATAAAATTATTTGGAAAAAAATCTATATTTTTCGGCGCCCACGACTCGTGAGAATGCCAGATAATTTATATATATTGATTAGTTTAATTTGATTTGGCATTCTTGTGGCAGACCATAGAAACCGCTGTTTGTTTACATTATCTGATTCGTCTAGACCCTTCAGCTCAGTCTGGGTTATAGACCACAAAAGAGTTGAGTATTATTGTACACTTTTAGAAGATATATTATGTGAGTAAGTGATGACATTTAACAATGGCGAGTAGAATGGGTCATATACATGAATGTATATGATACATATGTCATATACATGATTGTATATGATACATGTGTCATATACATTCATATACATGAATGTATATGATACATGTGTCATATGATACATATGTCATATACATTCATATACATGACACGTTTTGGTATTATTTCTGTCTGATCCGTATTTAATAGTCATCTACCTGTACTAGCTGCATCTTGCAGGGCCGATGTTCAATCCCCAATGGTCCAGTTGTATGGGCATCGTTTCATCACTTTGTAATGATAACCCCATCACCTTGTCCTCATATTCCCTCTTAAGCGTTATATAGTCATACTGACTTAGCGTTTTCAGTACCCCTGTCTTTAAGTCCCCCCATATATAATATGGGGTTAATAAGTGGGGTTAAAATTTACATTTTGAGTTTTATTTTTCCAGGTTGTTATCCAAGCCTTCGTCGATATGGTTTGGTAACTTTAAATTCATAAATGAATTTGTTATTCATAATTTCGGTAATTGAGTTTCACTACAAGGTTTACTGCCATTTTTCACGATATTTGCCGTGTCTCTGTGTGGTTGTATTTTTATTGTGAAGTTCATTTGAGAGCTGGTTCAGTAAATAACTTTTAATTTTAATAGTGTTGATTGAAGCTGCTTTTAAACGATGCTTCAGCTTTAACTATGACAGATGTTGGGTCTGTGGTGGACACAGCTGATGGATCAGTGGTTGACTCATCTAATGCGTCAGTGTTTGACTCATCTGCTGCGTCTGTGATTGATTCATCTACTGCGTCAATGGTTGATTCATCTACTGCGTCAGTGGTTGATTCATCTACTGCGTCAGTGGTTGATTCATCTACTGCGTCAGTGGTTCGACTCATCTACTGCGTCAGTGTTCGACTCATCTACTGCGTCAGTGGTTGATTCATCTACTGCGTCAGTGGTTGATTCATCTACTGCGTCAGTGTTTGACTCATCTACTGCGTCAGTGATTGATTCATCTACTGCGTCAATGGTTGATTCATCTACTGCGTCAATGGTTGATTCATCTACTGCGTCAATGGTTGATTCATCTACTGCGTCAGGGGTTAATTGATCTTCTACGCCAAGGGTTGAAACACCTACTGACTTATCCGTTAACATAGCTGGTGTGGAAATGGCATACACCTTTATTAATTGGTGAACGCATCTTGCGGGTCAGTTCTAGACTTAGTTATTGGGCACATTGTTAAAATTGTTGTACGGTGAAATGTTAAAACAGCAACTGGATAAATTTTTAGTACAGCAGCTTAGGGGGGGGGTAAACAAATGCTTAGCAGTGTTTAAAACAGTTGGTAGGGTAATGTATTCACTTTTGTGACAAATCTGTGACATCTAGAGGTAGATAAAGTTGTATCACATGTATAAAAATCTATTGACCATCTTTAAAACAATTAGCAAGTAGATGGTAAGATCATTTTCAAGACGAGGTATGAGAGGCCGCGGTGGAGACAAACAGACACACACCATGAGTACATATGTTTTATTATGAATACACAGCATCACCTTTGATGATTTTGTAGGAAAAGAATAATGTTGAGTTGATGAGGGTTGAGAACTGAGGACAACGAGTGGAGCCAGACAGTGAAAACAAACACCAATAAACACCCAAACACACACATACAAACACACAAACACCCTGTTTTACCTCGCCACCACGAGGAGGTTTCCGTATGTACATAGCTCTCACATATTTTCAAAATTATTTGTTAGATCTACCTTAAAGGTCAGTAAATGTTGTTATTTGACAATATATATAGAATATAAATTGATCATTTGAGTTTGAAGTATATAGGCCTTTATATTTATATCATGAGATTAACAATTGATTTATCAAATTTCAATCTAGATTCAAATATCAATACGTAGTTAATGACATAAATCATTTTATTTTCAATATTCCTTTAATTCAAAAACTCACAGACACACAATTCATAGATAAAATCGTATGTAAACACACCATACATAACGTCTGTTAAAATATCAAAGACAATTATATCCACCCATTAACACATTCAAGTTCAGGTAACCTTACAAATCGAGAAACTTAACAAATTAACCTAAGTCAAGTTTCCTGGTGTGGTTAATTACTAGGACATATGTTCACTCTTGTACAGCAGAGAATCATGATACATTAGCTGAATGTAAACAGGTTCTGTAACTCCTTCCTTAATACTGTAAATTCTATAAAATACAGTTGGTGAAGCAGAAAATGCTATGCACATGCCTTGATTACAAAAAATATATATTCCTGTGATACAAAAACAAAATAGTTATAGTTGCGCTGCGCTCTTGTATGCGTTTTGAGGTGTACCTCCGAGTTCTGCCTCATTGGTGAGATGTGAGGTATCTCATTCATGAGACAGGTGTTCTCCAAGCCCTGCTTCATTCATGTGACATGAGGTGTGTTCCGAATCCTGTCTCACTCATGACTCATACGGTGTGTCCCGAATCCTGTCTCACTCATGACTCATACGGTGTGTGCCCATAGATCAGCATTATTCATGACTCATACGGTGAGCCTAGAGATCTGCCTCACTCATTATTCACATAGTGATCCCCGAACCCAGCCTGCCTCATGATTCATGAGATGTGCCCAGAGCTCTGTCTTGTTCATGGTCCATGAGGTGTTCCCTAAGAATCACTCATGATTCATGAAGCGTTCCCAGAGTCCTGCCTTACTCATGAGTTTTAGCTTTTTATGCTCCTTTAACATTTATAAAGAATAAAGAAATCCTTTTTTCTATTAATTTGTTTCAGGTTCTTAATGTTATTAAATGGTTTAGCTGCATAGTTGACTTTGCAATACACACATTTAGATATATCATGAACGTGAAGTTGGGTTAAACAAGTAGATGCTCTCCTTGCATGTATGCATCAATCACTCACGTGGAGTTATGACAGTCGTTTAGGCAACTGCTTGTTCATGGTGAGCAAATGATAATTTTAAAAAATTTTCCATCTCGTAAACGAATTTCATATAACACCAAAAAATTTATTTAAAAAATAGTCCAATATTAGCACACTGTTGCAGATAACAGTGTAGAAAAAGTTCTCTCGCAACTTGCAACAAACTCAGCAATTGATGTATAAAAAAGTGGTGTGTATGGTCGATAAAATATAAAAAATTCGTTATGATTAAGATGTATTTTATATAAGATAAATATAATATAACTAGTGAAACATAAAATTAGTAAATATAAAATTACTAGCGAAAATTAACGTGTTAAAGAAGATTTAAGTAAAGTTCTGTCTTTAAATCACAGGTTTTGCTTAATTCAATTACTGGAGTTGGATATGATTTAAAGGAATGAAAGTTAGTGGAATTTACCATGACATTCAAGGCTCAACTGGAGAAACTAACATGTGACAATTACAGGTTCAGAAATAAGGTGGAGCGCAGCTGAGGAGCGGTAGTTCATCTACAAGTCTGTGTTGCAAGGTCACTTCTGCTTCTTGGTGATGAGGGAAATTAGTTGCTCGTCAATTTTCTTATGTCCGTAGATAGCTTTGGAAACGTTGGAGATCCTGAAGACAGCTCAGAATGACCAATTCACGAGTTGAATTAGACACACTCAAACACTCTCACACAAACATACTCACGAACACACACACGAACACACACACACACACACACACACACACACACACACACACACACACACACACACACACACACACACACAAACACACACACACTCACTTTGGCTCCTCTGTTTACATAAGCAAGCGCTTGTGACCTGTCTGGGCTTGTACAGTTGTAAGGTCAACCTAAGCCTTGTCTTTTAGCATAATCCAATTTCACACTGCAATTCTGTTTTTTGCTACTTTCAGGCCTGAATAAGTATAAAATATGCATGAAGCTAACCTGATATAGTTAGAGATAGTTGTTAGCATTGTATTTGAACATGTCTTTAGGAAATTAGCCAGAAAATAGCAAATAACTGATTAACAATAATCATGGTCGCAATTGGAATTTAAATAAAAATTCTCCCACGTTTTCAATATTTCAATATTCAGATGTGCTGAAAGAAATCAAAATGCTGTTGAGTGATTCTCATATTATGCTGAGCTTCTGTAGTGGCTTCTCAGAAGACCATTTGAAGCGTAATAATGCTATTAAACACCTGTGACTGGCATAATATCTGCCAATGATATTACGCCACATGATATTCTTCTCCTCAGCAAACATATAAACGCCACGTGTGTTTGAAGAGCTAAATCGTATCTATGAAGGCAGTTTTTACACGAACGGAAGATAAAATTTACAAGAAAATAGACATCTCTATATTTCTAGTAATAATTAGGATGTAAACATTACGTTTCCCACTTTTATTCAGTACAACTCTCCAAAACTCTAGGTGTTTACGGCATATACAATTTATATTTATATAAAACTAATCCCAGAAAGCTTAAATACATTCATGGCCTAAAGCCATGGCCAGTGTGAGGCTTAAAATAGGTCGTTAAGAGCATGTATGTATGTATGTATGTATGTGTGTGTATATATTTATATATAAACATTTTCACATGACGTGAGTAACTATCTCTCGGTGAGTTCATGAAATTTGGCGAGAGTGAGTCCGAGGAGCAGTAGGGCCAGAAGGGACTGGCAGTGGACGCTGGTGCTGTCTCCTCCCTGCATGGCTGCCGGATGCTCTCCTGCTGGGGTAGAGAAGGGCTACTTAGTACACTTCGTGTTCTCCTGCTGGGGTAGAGAAGGGCTACTTAGTACACTTCGTGTTCTCCTGCTGGGGTAGAGAAGGGCTACTTAGTACACTTCGTGTTCTCCTGCTGGGGTAGAGAAGGGCTACTTAGTACACTTCGTGTTCTCCTGCTGGGGTAGAGAAGGGCTACTTAGTACACTTCGTGTTCTCCAGCTGGGGTAGAGAAGGGCTACTTAGTACACTTCGTCCTCGGGTGTAGGAAAAGGTTTCCTCAGAGTTAAGAGTTAAGAGTCGGTAAGGTAAGGTAATTAACACGAGAAAGCGCTAACCCAAGATCTATACATAATCACAAGGAATATAAATCAGGACAAGGAAACATGCCCATCCACTTGACTACTCTTGGGATCGAGCACCGACCTGCAAGAAGGGAAGCTACTACACTACTCTACTGGCAAGTCAAATTGGATAGCGAGATATCACATAGGCATTTCCTTCTTTCCCTTACTTACAATGATGTACATGATATAAACAATTGGGACTACGTTGCCATGCTTAGATTTGAAGGGATGGTAGAAAAACGTGGGTAGGATGCTAGGTACTAGGAGCCACAAGACCCCTAACGTGAGGTGAGGAACATGGAGTCTGAGAACGAGAGATGAGGAAGACTGAGTTTAGGAATGGGAGATGGGGAATATTGAGCCTAGGTACTAGAGTTGGGGAACATGGAGTCTGGGAACGAGAGATGAGAAGGAAAAAAGGAAATATAAAAGATAATTTCAATTTAATATTTACGAAAAAACCAGTTTTTCCTTCTCATCTCTCGTATCAGAAAGAACTGACAACACTAAAATAACATACATTTTATGTTTGTTAATTAAATATCATTTTAATTATTTGTTTAAAAATTTGTGATGCAACGTAATGATAAGACATCAGTCGTATGACTCAATATATATATATATATATATATATATATATATATATATATATATATATATATATATATATATATGCAACAATAATCAAAAACACTGATCTAAGTATGCGGAAAAACAGCATGTGAAAAATAAAGAATGCTTAACGCGTTTTCGGCTATATCGCCTTCATCAGAGCAAAGTAGAATGGAGCCATTCTACTTTGCTCTGATGAAGGCGGTATAGCCGAAAACGCGTTAAGCATTCTCTATTTTTCACATGTGGTTTTTCCGCATATATATTATACATATATATATTTCACTTTGCACCCTTGTAGTCTCGAACCGCAGTTCACTTAAACATCAGCCCGCAGCTCTACCCACTGAGCCACCAGCACCCCTTAATAAGGAAGGATCCCAGAGACAGGTGTCTGCATCCCAACTATAACTTTAGACCTTCCCTGGCGTGCCACCGTGGCATGAAGGTGTCAGGTGATCCACGTCCCAGTCACATAAATTGGTAACCACCATATCGAGGCTCCGATGGTTCAAAGGGAATGAAATTTTATTATCCTGAGTGTGGTGGTTAACCATTCATATGACTAGGACGTGAACCACATAACACTTTCACTTGCATAATATATATGAAAATTTATTCGGGGTCACAGCGATGAAGATAGTGAGTAGCTGAGATGGTTATGGTGATGAAGGTGGTATATATAGTGAAGACGGGGTAGGGAGAGAGAGTGGAGAGGACGATGAGGGAGTGGGGAGGAGGCATAGAGGAGACGGGAAAGGAAGAGGAAACGAGGAGTGGGGAAGATCAAGAAAGAGGAGGGGGAGGGGGAGGGACAGATGCAGACCCGGGCACCGCCGGGTACTCTTCTAGTTATCAAATAGCTCGGTCAAGGGCTTCACGTTAAATTTTACCGTCTTATAAAGTTATAAATATTTTGACATGGCTGTCTGTGCTGTTTGTCTGTCTTAGAGGAGGCGAGATCTGCGGGGATTAAGCTGACTAGTAAACTCTCATAATTCTTATCGTAACACAGCCCATTAGTGGGTTTATTAAACCCTTCCATAAATTACGAGCGTCTCATTGTTAAAGACCCATAAACCGTGGCTTTGTATTTTAGAGTGTTTTAATCCCCGACTGTTGTTAATGGGTGGAAAAACTAACTTATTAATAATATTTTAATGTTCATTGTCTAAAGTTATCTGTCATAAGTGCTACATAGTGCCTTGAGCAGCGGTGTCCAACCTTTTATCAATTCCCAACAGTATTATCTTATGATTAAGAGACAAACGACCTCCTGCCACACATTGATCATAATACATGCAATTGCGTCCGTGTCGGCAGTGTTCTCTGGGTAGCTAAAACTTGACTGACTCAGTGAACTGTCCCAACCTACTGAGAGCCCGAGGAGGTTCCTGGCGTTTTGCATCAGCAATAGTTGAAGGATTATATCTAAATTCACTCAGTAAACTAAAGATCGTTTCCATGAATTCTTGTGCATTAATTTTAGATTTACAGTTGTATATGCAAATTTTAGTCCTCTGAATGCCTATTAAATAAATTTAGATATAATTTATCTCGATGCTGTTGCGTTTCTGTTCCGCCAGATTTCTCCCACTGTTTATCCCATTACCTTGACCTAAAAACTCTAGTATTTTTATGTACAGCATTTGTTGGCTTTGATCATTATGGTCTTATAGAGCCAGAGAGCATCACAGAGGAAACAGACCAGGACATAGGAAATGTTCGTACAATAATAATAATAATAATAATAATAATAATAATAATAATAATAAAGAATACCTGAATGACTTACATTGCATGGATTAAACACCGTGTCTGTAAATATTCAAATTATATACACTTAAACGTAACCACCAAAGCAGTAGAAATGGAGAGTAGGAAGTCCCAGTTGCTTGAACACTGCTAGGGACAATATATTGACTCTAGTACACTTTGTGGATTTAGTTTTTTTTTAACTCTAAATCTCTTTGTGACTCTATTTCTACGCCCCTATGACTAGTTCTCTCGCTCTGTTGCCCTAGTTCGGCCTCTATGTGACCCTAGTTCTGTCTCTGTTGCCCTAGTTCTGCTTCTCTGTGACTACAGTCCTGTAGATGTTGCCCAAATTCTGGTTTTAACCAGGGCTCTGTGTAACCTGTATGCCCTTGCCCTGTACCTTACTGATCCGTACCGTTCAGGATATAGACGCTGACTGATGCTGGCTCAGCGTTAGCGGGGGCACAAGTGTAGTTGCCCGAGTCTGCCGTGGTGGCCCTGATGACCACCAGCCTGGAGGTCCGTGAGTGCTTGTCCGTGACGACGCTAATGCCGCCCCTCGAGCTGTAGTTGATGAGGGTGATGCCACGGTACCAGTAGATGTACTGCGGGGGTTCGGGGCTCCCTGTCACCGAACACGTGAGGTTGATGTTGCTGCCGCTCACCATGTGGATCTCCCGAGGGCCTACCACGTGCGCTTCCGCTTCTGTCAAGATCAAGCGCATTAGTGCGTATGTAGTGTGTGTGTGTCTGCAGGTTGGGGTAAGTGGGGGGCAGAGAAAGATGTGGGTTATATGTTTAGGAAGGCTGCGACTGAAATGTCTTGGTCGTGTGTATGTTCTACACACACAGGTTCTTATGGCTGCTTTCGTTCCTGTTGTAGGGGTCATTCGGTCCAACTTCTGTGTTGGCCCGGGGTCTTGAAGTGGGAAGCAGTCAGAAGAACATAAGCTGCCAACAAGTCACACTCATGTTGATACATTTAATACCTTATTAATATACCCCATGTAATGTCATTCATCCATATGTCACCTAACCACCTCACCATAAACGGATATAACCAGGTGCTAAGCACGGTAGAATTTATCTTTGAGAATGTGAGGAGACACCTTACGAAATGCATCATAGGCGTCAGACCCAAATAAAAAGTAAAAATTAACTTTGGAGAGTTAATTATTAATCTTCCTGCTTAAGTGAAGAAAACATAAGTCATATCGAGAAGATTCGTGCCAGAATCATAAATCTAAAACTTTCTGTCGTTTTCAACTAAATAAATTTAAAAGAAAGACTGCTTCCAAAATTTACTACTATATATATATATATATATATATATATATATATATATATATATATATATATATATATATATATATATATATATATATATATATATATATATATATAAGCGCCCTGAACACCTTCCCTTCCTCGTCCCATCTCAAATCCTTATCCTGATCCCTTCCAAGTGCTATATAGTCGTAATGGCTTGGCGCTTTCCACTGATAGTTCTTTCCTTCCTTCGCCCTGGCCACAATAGACATAATATTCTGCCTCTTGGGAATCAACTAGTTTAAATTTAAATTAAATTGTATAAACTTATATTATAGGTGGCTTTACATTTCTAATTGGCTTGCGTTACAAAATGTCATGCAATTACCTTATTCATTTAGATAAGAGCAGAATAATAATAGCCTCTTCCGGATAATTACTACATGTTCATTAATATGTAGTAGTGTCGTTTAACCATTTTCAAGTACATTATATTTATATGAGACAAAATGTAATAATATTCGCCGGGTACTGATCATTATAATTAACTTTTAGTGTATCTTGAAAAGACTGATGTTGTCCTAAGGCAGGTTCCCTACGTCCATTGCAAGAGGGCAGTTTCCCTACGTCCATTGCAAGAGGGCAGTTTCCCTACGTCCATTGCAAGAGGGCAGTTTCCCTACGTCCATTGCAAGAGGGCAGTTTCCCTACGTCCATTGCAAGAGGGCAGTTTCCCTACGTCCATTGCAAGAGGGCAGTTTCCCTACGTCCATTGCAAGAGGGCAGTTTCCCTACGTCCATTGCAAGAGGGCAGGTTCCATACGTCCATTGCAAGAGAGCAGTTTCCCTACGTCCATTGCAAGAGGGCAGGTTCCATACGTCCATTGCAAGAGGGCAGGTTCCCTACGTCCATTGCAAGAAGGCAGGTTCCCTACGTCCATTGCAAGAAGGCAGGTTCCCTACGTCCATTGCAAGAGGGCAGGTTCCATAAGCCCATTGCAAGGGAGCAGGTTCCCTACGCTCATTGCAAGAGGGCAGGTTTGTTAAGCTTATGGATAGGGGGCATGTTCCCTAAACCCATTACAACAGGGTTGGTACCCTAAACCCATTGCAACAGTGTTGGTACCCTAAACCCATTGCAACAGGGTTGGTACCCTAAACCCATTGCAACAGGGTTGGTACCCTAAACCCACTGCAAGAGGGCAGGTTTCCTATTGCAATGGGCTTCGGTCTCACTGGATGATCCTCTTCGATATTCCTTAGGAAAGTGCATGATGTTTTCCTCCTGCTTCTTCCTCTTCCAGTGACAATTCAAGTACGGTTATTTTCCCAATGGAAGATTGGGTTCTCAGTAGATGGTGCACGCGCGCGATGTTGCAACGCTCGTTTGAGTCCCACAAATTTGGCGATAACCTAGACGGAGAGGTCGTCGGATTCTGCGATGAAGGCCAATGGCCTTTTCGCGTGACCACAGTTGGTTTTCTCTTGTGGATTGCCAGATTTTGTGGATTCGCGGTCTTCAAGTATCTTTTTTAGACTTTAGAAAAACGATGTGAATAAATTTGCGTTTGCTTCCTGTCACTGTCATAATTTCAAAATGTGGATCCTCGTTTCCTCTCGACTTAGTGACAGAATCTTTCTTCACTGAATGATTCATGTCGCTTCGATCGAGGACTCATGACCGACAGACGCACTTTATTCCTGTCACCCGTTACGCTGTGTCACGATGACACAGCGTAACACGACTACTCAATATATTGTTTCTTAATTTGAGGTAACTGCTATTACCGTGATCAGCTGGAGGTCTTCACTACCAGTCACGCGTTGTGTCTTATGTGAGGCTGTGGGACGCTAAAACCTCCTATCTGCGTCCTGATTGGCCACGTGACACCTCTCGCTGATTGGCGAAAACAGTTCTCGAGATGAGGACATGAAGTACTTAGTAAAGTTCTATGCGTCGCCATGTTGTTTAAAAGATTAAAAAGCTTTGGTTAAACTCCAAAGCTTAAAATGAAATGTTAAATTAAAATATATAATACCGTTTCCTAATTCTATTTGACTTCAGCCAAGTTAATATATGACATGGTAATATATTAATTATTATTAATTTATAATTATTTTCAAGATTTTCATGTTTTTCAAGAGGGCGTTGACCCGCCTGAAGTTAATAAAGTTATTGATAATTTTTGATTTCTAATGTCGAGAATGAGTGTTACGGGAAGAGGCTGAGCTGTGAGATGTAAGAATTTTGGAATACTTGATGATGTGTATTTTTAGTTATACGACGAAGGAAGGAATTATCAGGAGAAAGTGCCAAGCCACTACGACCATATAACACTTGGAAGGGATAAGGATTCGGGATGGGACGTTGGAGAGATATAGCACAAAACTACCCTAAATAAATATATAATTTCCATGACAATCTGGAAAGTCATTTTATAAATGCTCTGGCGATTACACAAGCACGTTACAACATGCACACAAATAACCAACCAGTTCTCTGGGTGTGTGGCAATGTGCAACGTACCCTAACCAGACACGCACGTACCCAAGGAACCTACCTAACAACCGATGCATAGAAAGCTGTTGCTTTTAATAAGGCGTTGCACTTGGTACGTAATGTTTAAGAACCTGTAATGAAAACAGAAATAGACTAGAAAAGGCAAAAAGTTTTACATTGGGAACAGAAAACTTTCTTTTTTTTAAATCACAGCTGTCTTCCTCTCTCGAATATTGGACAACTGTGTTGATGGACTTTGTTACGACACAGAGTGCCGAAGAGCAATAGGTTAGTGAGTGATTAAAACAGGAGATAGATAATACTGGTGATTGACACGTGGGAGGCAGAGGTCAAGAGGTGAGGGGGGCACGTTAAGTCAAGCGTGAGGGCTTGACGGAGGGATGAGGCTAATCAGAGGAGGATGAAACGCATACAGCGACGAAGTCACGTTTGACATGGTGAAGTCAAGTATGTTGGGATGTATTAGGTCAAGCGTAGGGGAAGGGTTGAAGTCAAGTGTGTGGGAGGAATGTGAGGTCAAGTGTGTGGGAGGAATGTGTGGTCTAACATTGATTTTTTTTTTTAAACATTCAATTGACATTTATCTATAGCATTGTCTATTCAACAAATCATAAAAGGAATTTATTCTGTCCTCTATGACCAGGGTCAAAGGTCAGCTCTTCTACATATAGTGCAGAGGGATATTGGACAATCAGTTACAGAATGTAATTGAACTGCTTTTACTCTTGCAATTTAATATTTTAATCAGCATATATATTTTTCGGTCCTAAACTGACATAGTTGGAGAGCTGCTATAGTTACTTAATAAGCGCTCAAATACATAACGTTATTAAACTGCTTTTAAAAGCTATAGTTATAATTATATTACATTACATGGAGACTCGTAAGTACAGATTCAGTATATCATCAGAATATCATTCAGATAATATTTACAGAGTTCAGCATCTGTCAAGTCTTGGGGGAGTCGAAAGTCGGTCTATATGGGACATTACCACATGTTAAACAGTGTTCATGGTTACTCTGTCGTAGAGGTGACACGTGATGTGTACGATACAGATTTGGGTAAGCTGCCAGATACGTCTATATCCAAGGCGTATTCTGGCCACTATAACATCACATTGCCGAGTTCTTGCTCTGTTAGTTCCATACATAAATGTCTACTCGGTTATTCATCACGTTTAATGCCAAAGCTTTTAGGGCTTTGTGAATTTGTTTAGTCAATAAGATTTCATCGGACATTTCAGTATTCTTTTTGTCACTGCTAATGAAACACTATGTTAATTTTTACTACTGGTCTTCAACAGGCTGATTTTGCAAGCATGTCAACAGTATCATTCTTTCAGATTAATAACATTGGACGGAATGCAGAAAAATGTAATCTATTTTCTTTAACAGCTGAACCATTCACTCAGTGGGAAAGTGATGGGTGGGAGTAGAGGGGAAAGGAATGAGGTCGAACATTGTGGTTGACGTCAAGACTAAGGAAGAGAGAAAGGGGGGAAAGGGTTCAAGTAAAGTTTCGTGACTGTGAATAATATTCGTTATCGTTGGCATGGATCATTCAGGGAGGGTGTCATATCGTGCCCCTAAGGGAAGCTCTCGGCAAATTATCTATCCACTAGGGGGACAGAGGTTAGCTATTGCCAAGGTTTGTGATATTTAACTGAGAGAAAATTAAAATAAATTGGCGATAAAATTGGAGGTATGAATGTAAGTACTATATAATCAATTAAGTTTTGTTATGGATTTTCGTTATTTTTCAGTGTATTTCAAACGGGATCAAAAAATTATAAAACTAAGAATATATTTAGAAACAAATTCATTAGCTTAGTTTTAATATTCTGAATTTCAATTTTAAATGTTTTAACTTCACACACACACACACACACACACACACACACACACACACACACACA